TATATGTATATATATGTATATATGTATATATATATATATGTATATATATATATACATATATATGTATGTATATATATATATGTATATATATATGTATATATATGTATATATATATATTGTTGAAGTTGAGCCTCGAGCATCGGCCAGTCGTCCCTGCAACACCAAGGAACAACACGCATATGTGGTAGGGTGATCGATCGATGCTACCTGCAGGACGTCGCGCAGCTTCGTCTTGTCTTCGTCACGAGACACACGGGCGTTGAGAATGGCAGCACTCTGCGCGGCGGCTGCCATGCCGCCTCGCAAGACAGTGTTGAGCCCAGTCGCGGCCGACTCGATCGCCGCGGCGTCGCTCATCTCGACCGGTTTGTCCCCCGCTGCCCTTGCTGCCGCCTCTAGCGCCTCCCCGATGGTCATCTTGTCCGTCCATGTCGATAATCCACCTAGTCCTTGTCCCCTTTCCTCACCTTGGCCGCCGCCTGCTGCGCGGCCATCTCCGGCTCCAGCGTTGACCACATACCGACCCACAGCCTATCGCCCAAGATGATCAGGTATGCTCTCTGTAATAGTTTCAGATAGATACGGTGATCTGCACCTACTTGGCCGGCGACAAACTCGGTCACAAAGCGTTGGCCGGTGCAGCCAGGGATCTCGGTCTGGGTGACGGACACGCCCTGGTTGGCCGGGGTGGGGCTGAACTGGTTGTGTGGCCGATGAGGCCACGCTGCTTGTTGCACATGGCAGCGGACTCCATGACGGAGGCGGGGCCACCCTTGGGGGTCACCCCCAGGGCCTTGTTCTCGGCGTCGTGCATCATGGCCGCGTCCCCAGGGGCGATGGCCTGGCCGGCGAGCTCCCCGGCAACGGGAAACACGTCGCCATACCTTATGGGCTGGTCGTCCGGCCTTCTTCGTTGTTCTTGGCTCATGTTGCGGGACACAGATCAGAGACTACAAACTCGGTGAGATCTGTGTGTGGTATGTATATATAGAGGGCAAGTGAACGAAGGAGGTCAGCACACAAGATGGATCATTGTCACGTGTTGCTCTGAGGAAGGGGGAAGGATTACTAGAACAGGAGATCCGGCGAGGCTCTGGGAGTGGAGAAACACGTGTCGTGCCGTTGGGACTCCGGCGAAGAGGTTCCAATCTTCTGATCCATCGACAGTTGACGAGTTCTTGTCGATCGACCTCACCATTCCAATGCAGAAATATCTATTTACTTCTCATTTAGGAGCACAGCGAACAGGAAATAATCAAATACTGAGTTGCCACTCGTTGAATTTGGTGATTTCCATGGGTTATAAATGAATACGTTCTTTCTCATACTCATACATTTTGAAGCTTCAGGCTATTGTCAGCGCGACATGCTAACAAATCCAGAATCAAGATGACAATACTACAGATGAGACAAGTATAAGAACAAACAAAGATATGTTGGCATCAAACCGGGATTTTCTTAGGTTGGGGGCGTCAACTGTTCCTCTGGTCGCCAGAATGACTGCTTCCAGAGCTGCTTCGTGTTCTTCACGATTGTCGCCCTCAGCACCTCCCATGCTATTGGAATCAATCTTGGCCTCTGAAGCAAAGGATTCCTCTGGTACTCCAAGACCCAGGTGTTTGCATCCAGACGTACTGCCGATGACCTCCACTTCTCATAAATCCATGAGCTGTTGCAGCTTGTTCTTGTGGTGGATGCCAGCTTCCCATCGGACCACTGATTGTAGATTCACGTTAGCTACAGAACACAAAGAAGAAGAAGCTCAAACTGGGGAAGCTAATTATTTGGTACCTCAATTATGTTGCCCGATAAAAGCGTCAGTGATCGAGGAGAAGCTCCAGCTGAAAGCAGACCTGCGGTCCGTAGTGGGCTTCCCCAAACATTCACTTCCTCTGCTATTGATTTGTACACCACACATCTCCATTGGAAGAAGAAATTGCCACCCTGCAACTAAAATCTTGTTACTAAAACATACCCAGCGATAATAAGGTTAAACGAGAAACAATGGGATGTGTAAATTTTGAGCTGCGTCAGGCTTCTAATGTTAAACATCAAAAGAACAGTAACATTGCTTTATTGGAGTAGTGATTTGCAATCAGAGCTTCACAAGTCTGCAATAGTGTAGCGTTGTCACTTCAATCAAAAGAACACAAGAAAAGAACCTAAATCCTTTAGTATTATGGTATGCTGAATTATTTAGAGGACAATTTAGTGAACAAAGTTCTGAATTATGAAAAGTAAGAATTTTTTGCAAGGGATTCATATCCAAGAAAGAAGGAGATGTAAAAGTAGATAGAAGAAAACAAGATCCAAGAATATGAGAGAATACCGGATTCATTTCCCAGAAAGAATCAACAGAACTGCAATTAGAAGCCCTTCCTCCTACCAATTTCTCCATCCTCTGCTGCAAAAGCTGCAATGTCCCCTTCAAATCATTTCTGAGTACTCGGCATTCCTCCCCAGCCCGAGACACCACCTCCGGCGTGAGCTTAGAGCCGAAATCTTTCATAATTACTGCTGATAAACCCATGTCGGCCGCCCACAGCAAGAACAAGCCAACAAGAATCCTGACCGCCCGGCAGCCGAGGCCCCAAGATTCCTCCTTCTTGGCGACCGCCTTCGCTGCCGGCCTAGATCTTGTCCAAGACTCGATAACCGGCGTCGAAGGAGGGGTAACAGTGGATCCTGTCTCCGGCGACGTCGGAGGGCTCCCGGCAACGAACGGTGACGGCGTTGGCCTGGAGACGGAGAGCTTCGTGACGGACGTCAGGATTGAGCCTCCGGAAGGGATGAGGTCGCGGGTGGCGTCGATGCTGGCGAGACAGATGTCGCAGTGGCAGTTGGTGTCCTTGCGGCAGCCGGGGAAGTAGCTGCTGTCGCTGCCGCGTCTCTCCGAGCGGTCTCGAGCAGCGGAGACCGCCGGCCGGATCCTCGACGATGCTGTTTCCGGGGTTAGCGTCACCAGAGCCTTCATCGGTGTCCTCGCTCTTTCCTCTTCTTCTTCTTCTTCTTCTTCTTCTCTAGAGGGGCGCTGTTCTTCTTGAGTTCTTTAATTGGGAGAAGGACGCGGTGGCAGTATTTGAAATTTAAATTCCACCAACGGTAACCGAGCACGAGGGTTTCTTGGTAGCTATACAAGTGGTCACGTGACCAAACGGCCAACATCTTCTATTGAAGCTGTCACCTGGAATTGGTCGTATAAGAAAGCGAATTTTTTGGATTTAAGATTAGTATATAATTTTTTGGATTTAAGGTGTATAATTTAAATATAAAGAATTAACAGAAAAAAAGACCGACTTTGCATGAAGATATATGTGATTTTATTAGAAAATCTTAAGATGCTCTCTCTAAGCCAATCCATGCCTTCATGTCACCGTAGGGCGGTACATATGCCATCATCTCAAACCTGTGAGAGAAGAATGCATTGCAGACAAACATTTTTGCCCTCTAATATCTGACCTCTTTATCATATTCAAACCCTTGGCTATATTTCTCCTTAAAAGGAAAGCTTTCCAAGTGTCTAAAAATTCACTTCAGGAGTGTATGAATGTCCTATAAAAGTGGGAGATATTGAATATCTCCAAATATATCATTATATTTCAATACACTAGCTATAAGTAATTGTATGTTCACTGAGAGAGATTGCAATTTACGGAGCTGCAGGTCCAGATGCACCTTCGGGAGATGCTGCCGGTGGACTCCCTTCTCCGCCAGAGCTCGCTGCAGAACATCAACATTGAGCTAATTAGAAGATGTGCAAGCTGGTGAGTACATTGGGCTTTATTTTGTAGCATAGATAAACATGAATTAACTGTGTCTACAAATAAAATCTATGTTAGCAAGAAGCAGAGTCTGTGTTGTGTGCCCCGGAGGTACCGAGGAAGCTAGATCTAGACAATCACATGTCCCTGACCTTTGCTAAAGCCCTCCTCTCAAATGAACATTGTAGATCTAGATTTTGACAATAGTAGATACAATCTTTACTAGTATGGTACAAGCCTATAAATATAGAATCATAACTTGAATTATATATCTTTAAATGCTATCAACAGCCACATTTTACTTATTAGAAAGCAAACCAGCTTATTGAGATTATGAGATAGAACATTGATCAAAGCAAAATATTTATTGTAACTGGGCAATAGCATAGCAAAAGGCACATTAACAAGAAATCAATGGATGAAATAAATTTACTGTTCCAAAATTAGAACCAATGAAAGAAAGCAGAAACGGAAACTAGGAGTTACGTGAGTCCTTTGAATGGTTGTCAGCTGGTGGTGTCTTGACATCCGATTCATTGTCTATTGTACCATCTCGGCAATCAGCACATTCATCCGCTAAAGACATAATAAAAGGCTATGATTATACATGTATATTCTTTAACATATTCCATTTTTGAAGCAAAGTGAAAAGCCTTAATAACCATTTCCACATGATTGTAGTAGGCTCGGAAAGTCACCACTTTATGTTTTCACCTTTTAGAACATCGAAGACATACCTTTTCCTTCGACCAAACTTCTGGATGCAAATTCGAGAGTGCTTCTTGGTAACCTTGCCATTCGAGACATGTCTACATAACATGATATGTACCATTAGGTATTTATAAATATGCTGGTAAGATCGATAAAGCATTGAAGGTCACCACTTCATTTTTTTGCATTTCAAAGGAAAATCAGATGCATACCTTCCTTTTGGAGTGAACTTGTGGCTGCAAATTTGAGATCTCCTCCTGGTGACCTTGCCACTCCAGACATATATACAGAGCAAGACATGTATTATTAGGTATTTACATAAATTCACCACTTCCTTTTTTCACTTTAAAGGAACATCAGAGACATATATTCCTTTTAAATTCAACTTGTGGATGCAAATTTGAGAGCTTTCTTGGTAACCTTGCCATTCTAGACATGTGTGAATAGGCATTTACAAATGTGCTGGTAATATCAATAGAAGATTCTCAATGGTCCAGGAAAACAAGTGTAATGAGAACCTAAAATGGTATAAATAATGAGTCGCTTGTTTTTTATGGGGTTTCACAAACAATTTACAGCTTAGCTAACTTTCTTTAGGAATATAGACAAAAACCACATTTAGTTATCAGAACCAAATATCATCACACATCTAGTTGAAGCATGAAACAGTTTCTAAAAAAGAACATATTGGAAAATGTAGTTCTTAACTGAAGCAACACCAAAGAAATGGTAAGATTAGGGATGGATTGGTTACAGTAGGGACGACTGATATTGGTGTCGGCAATCCCAGAAGCGACCATAAGCTGAGGAGATTGGACTTCTCCAACCTCAGTGCTGAGGCAGCAATTAATGCCTCGCAGCTTGTGGCAGCAGAAGTACTGCAGTGCCGAAGGGGTCTGACCAGTGTAACCTACATAGCAGAGATGAATTGTCATATGCTGTTTAGTTTAGTTTAGGTTAAATTTTCATTTGAAATACAGAAGATGGTAAGTAGCAACAAGGTTAGTTGGTATATTTGATGAAATTTAAATGGCAATCTCAAATTTTGTATGGGTAAAGATCTCATTTAGGGTTATTTTCAAAACCAGAGTTTTCCCATATATTTCTCTCTGTATTGTGTTTCCTTTTTCTTTTTCTTTCCTTATCAAATTGTATTCATTGGTACACTTTCCTTAACTATATGACAATAGTGAAATCATGAAGTCAATTGAAATCTATGTAACTAAGAAATCAAAATTAGAGGATAAAGATTCAAACTAGATAAATTTAACTTTCACTTAACTTGAAATTCAACTTCTTAATATTCTTCCAAATAGTATTTTAATTTTATTTAATTGTATTCTTAATTATCTCATTATACTTAAAGTAATCAAATTCAGACAACCTTCTATCAGGAAGGAAAGGAATAAGCAACCATGTCACTTATCAAAACCTGGAATACACATTTGCCATTCAGTTTGGAAAATTAATATAAAAGGAAACCTTAGATTGTTCAACTAAGTAAAAAGGTAAAAAATAAGAGGGCTTTTCCCCATTAAAAGACCATTACTCAACATATACAATGAGTGAAATTGGTATTAATAGTAATCTTTTCTATGTTATATTTTTAGAAGACATTGGTGAAAAGTACGGCTATAAATTATGATAAACATAAAATTCTGAAACATTATGATTTCTCTATTCTGAAATGAGAGCATTAGTTTAAACATTCCAACGTTTTTCTTTTAATTTTGACAACTGATTTATATCCATGATTTCTGTGCAAAGATGTTATTTGCTTAGTATGGACTATATTATTATTCATTTATAAAAAAAATTAAGCCCCATCAGAAGCAATAAAATGAAAGATATTGAAAACCTGCATGCAATCTCAAAATGAAGACTCTGCTTTTCTATGTTCCCAATTGATAGTTGAGTGGTAACCAGCAAATGAATTTTTAAATTTAGAAACCACAAAATACAGAAATAATGCTTAAATTTTAATTTTCCATAGGCATTTCTTAGTGACTACTTTTTCCCTTATTTGCTCTTGATTAATGTTTTTCTTCTTTGATGTTTTAAAGGTCATTACTCATTACTTTTTGCAACAGTTAGTATCAGGTGAATACAATGTAAGGAAAATCATGTCACCATTAACATGATTGAAGATGGCCTTGGCATTAGAAACAGACAAATTTCCAAGTTTGAGTTGCAGGTTATGCTTAGCAGCAATATTTAAGTCAATAGAGTGGCATTTGGACTATGGTATGGTTTTGCCCTGGTGTTTTGAAATTCCTACTAAGATTAGCTGGTGTTGGAGACTATTTTTAAATTCGATGAAAGAACTTATGTCTAGATTTAAAAATCAATCAATGTTAATTATTACAAAATGAAAAGCAATTTACGATTTAGATACTGTTCAAAGTAACACGATTGCATCAAAATTTTTCTTCTGAACAAGCATGTGTCTATCACAGTACAATGTGAATCCTCCATCATTGCTCTTGAACATTTAAAGATATAAAATTTATCTAGACGATTTTGACTGAAAATTTGTCACATTGTGCTTTTGCTTAGGAAATATTAGCAAAGACTAACAACAGATACAGAATATCAAAACTAATGATTGGGGAAATCTTAATAATGGCAAAATCCATATACTTAATCAGAATTAGAAGTATGCCTTAAATTGTCAAGGTAATAGTAATCAAACTATCTTCAGATTGAAGTCTTTGACAAAATAATATATAAGAAAAAGTAAAGAGAAGGATCAGAATGAATCTGAAGGTGCAATTCATTGTTCTAAGGTGTATTCCTCGTTTTTGATCAAGAACACCATCCCAAGATAAAATCGGGGATTGTCTGTCTCTGTGCACATGAATATGTATGATGTGGATGCCGATCCATCACCATCAATAGAAAACAAAATAAAATACATAAATGAATAGTAAGTAGGAAACACAAGATTGCAATTCCTAACAAACAGAGAAAGAGAAGAAAAATGCAACAGAGGCTATCAATGAGAGCATGGGAAGTCATGTCCATTCATGATATGTCCTACATTCATCCATGACATGAGAACGTGGGACTGTGAGGAGCAAGGGGTCTCCACATACCTAAGGACTCTATCTAGGTAATGTGATAAGAAATAATTAATTTTAATCAAAGAAATAAAACGAAAAAAAATTGATTTTTTTTTAACAAGATAAGGTAACAATCACTTTACTTTTTTTACTTTAATGGAACATCAGAGATATGTCATCTTTTTGAACTGAACCTGTGGATGCAGCTCTGAGAGATGGTGACTCTTCCACTATAAACATATCTAAGTGTGGCAAATAATGCAATTTAAATGACACTTGAATTCTGTGCAGGCAAAGATCTCAGTTAACATTACTCTAAAACAGACCTTCGCTTATCCCTTATCTCTTTCTTCTCTGTTTTTGTATTTCCTTTTATCCGTCTTCTTCTACTTCCTAAAGATCTCAGTTAACATTACTCTAAAACAGACCTTCGCTTATCCTTTATCTCTTTCTTCTCTGTTTTTGTATTTCCTTTTATCTGTCTTCTTCTACTTCCTTCATCCCTTTCTCCATTCAAACAGACCAGAGG